TTCCCCTCCCCCCCACAGTGAGCCAAGAAGTGGCTGCGGCTCTGCCTCCTACCACCTACACCAGACCGGCCTGAAGCAAAGGCAGGTTGAGCAACCATTTGCAGCCTCCCCGAGACTTGCACAGCTCCACTGTGTAACAGCCCTTCCTTCCCTTATGTGACTAAATACAGCTTTGCTTCAAATGGCTGGAATCGTTCAGGCTTCTCAAAGGACCTTGCAACTTCTGGGTTTTTTAGAAGAAACCATCCTCCTCCACAAAATCCCTTGCACGCACATCCCTGTGTTGGCTGAGAAAATGGTGCTGGGACCACAAATTGAAGGTCTGCCTCCACAGACCTCTTTACGCCTTCATCTCTTTTGATGAGGGCATCCCAAGAGAAAGAGATATTAAAAGGAAATTGGTCAGAAACAGAAAGTCCTGCTTGCTCTAATGAAAGTTAAAATCTCCCTCGCCCCTTGTATATGCCTTGTGTGGGGACAGGGTGTTAACCTTTGAAGTTTGCTGATTTTTTTAAGTCATTTGGATTCTCAGGACTGAGTTGAGGAACTACTACATAGCAATTGTCTATATAGACTTAAAGAAGAGATGGTCTTCCTTGACTGTATCTTCATAAAAACCTCTCAGGGTTTGCAGTACATTTTAAAGGAAACAGTCATCAGTTAAGCATCCTAATAAAAACTTGATAATTACCTAAACAACAAAGGACCCCAGATATCGGTGAGTCCCCAGTACTCTCTTCGCAAGCCCCTGTTAAAGCAGTTATACCTGCAGACTTGGTGCATAATGGGAGATTGCTCCCCAGGGGAACGTCACTGCCTTCACTCAAGACATGCTAACTAAGGCTTATGTCAGCAACTTCGAAACACATCTTTAGAATAAATCTTTTAAAAGAGGCATCCATATCCAGGGGCAAAGGAAGTCACCAGAGACAGAATTCTGAATATTCAGATGGCTCATGCCTAAATATAACCAGTGTATGCACGTGCATTTAGTAGTCCATATATTTACACACGCACAAAGCTCACAGAAGTTAAGTCAGGCACTAAAAACTAGGAAATATTCATGTCAAATTTACTCACACAGGCTCTCCTGCTCACACAATGAAGCAGGGTTTGTTTGGAAAACAATTTATCAAGTAATTGCAAGGCTCTGCATCTGTATAACTGTATAACTTTTTTTTTTTAAGATTATTACCTGATACCCTGCAGCCTTCATTTTTCAAAAATTCTTTCACCCCGAAAATAAATAAATAAATCTTTTTCTTAGCCATAAAAAGAAAAAATCCACATATGGATTGAGTGGGGTTTGAGGGGAGCAGAAGAGGTGTGTTAATCACCACAAAAAAAAAAAAAAAAAGGAAATGCTTTGTCTTTGTACTGTTTGTAATATTTACGTAAAATTCACATTTGAGGAAAGGTTAGATTCTCAAAAAGGTGTCTCTTACAGCTAGGACATTTGAGATATGGAAAACTAAGAGTGTAAAAAAGCAGTACTTAGGCAAATTACTTCCTAGAAGGGAGTTAATCACTAAAGCATAGGTTGGAATGCTAAGTGTATTATTAACTAGTCTTTCAGATTTTTCAGAACAGTATTATAAAGAGACTGAAAGCACTCAGTACTTCATGAAGTTTTTTCTTAAAGATAACGATGCTCAGCACAAATGCTCTCTGAGAGAAGGAAAATGAACTTGGGTTTCACACACCCTGGAGATAAACCTCAACTAGTGAAAAAAAGTGAGAGTACGTTAGAAAAGTCTCAAAATAATGTTTGAGATAGAAAGGATCACAAAGCATTTTCAAGTTCTATATTTTACTCAGTAAGCCAAAGAAGACAGAAAGACTGTTTTAACTTAATTGAATAGTATTTTACTGAAATCTCAAATTATTTCCATAAACTCATTCCTAATTTCAACTCCCTGACTAGGACAGAGAGGTGCCAGGACACCTCAGTAAAATTACTGGGACAGACGCACAGATTAAAAGCATTTCCCTAACAATCATGATGTGCAGAGAACACAGATACCAGCTTGGAAAAGTTCCAACTCATGTAATTTTTGCAAAAATATAAGCAACTGGAAACAAAGCTACCAGTTTGGTTCCACCCGTAATGACACTGCACCATTTAAGTCAGATCATAAGTCTCAGGTCTCATTTTCTTGTTCCCTGTGAAGCAGCTGTAACAGCTGTATTTCCTGTCACGGGATATAAATACTAATCCCTATTCCAAAACAGGAATTGTGGTGAAATCACCTAAACAACTTTCAAAGTCCTAGCCTTTGAAACTAAGAACAATAGAAGATACTTTTGCCCACCATTTACAAAGTTATCGGTATTTTCACCAAGCAGTAAACACCATAGGAAACATTTAAAAGAATTGCCTTCATCAGGTTTTCAAGACAGGAGAGTCTCTGTGATTTGCTCACACAGAGCAACAGCAACAAAACATTTGTTTAACAGCTCTCTAAAAGCTGATGCCACAACATACTCATCTTTCTCAGTTTGAATTTCAACACTGTACTTGTTTCCGCACATCTAACCATAAAATATTTAACAAAATAAAAGCCCTGCAGATCAACACTGAAGTTATTAAACAAGTTGACCTCAAAACTCCTTCTCCAGCAGCACTCCTGTATCCCATTCAATATAATCTATTTCCTTTTCCAGTGGCCCCGATGGGTCCAGTTTTGGGAAAGTTACCTAAAATTTATTTTCAGTTACCTGTACTGCCACAGAAATACTACGAAACAGGTTACATGCAGGAAAATGCTGTACAATACAGTTGCTGATAAAGCAGCTAATTCTTTTACTGCACTATAAAAAATATAATTGTTGTTAATCCCCATCATGCTGAATGCACTCAATACTGATGCACTTAGGTGACATCTGATACATACTGGAAGTAACAGTTGTAGGTGGGAATAATATAACTATGAGTTCCTCTAAAGTGTTAACTGAAAACTAAAACCACAATAAATTATAATTAAAATGGGCTTCCTTTAAGAAATTTAAAGGACTAGTAGAGGTCATACATAAATTCAAGCAAAGAAGCAAAAAAAAGACTACAAGGAAGAAACAGGAAGCTTGTAAGGAAACAATATTCTTTTCTATGCAGGTATTTTTTTCAAATGCATAATTTATTTTTAAATTCATAACTTACAATTATCTTCTACATCCTTTTTGCTGTCCTCTTCCGCAGGAAACACTTGATTGATAGCAGCCTGGAAAGTCTGTTAGATGAAAAATATTAACACTGTCAGCATTCCATAAAAATAGAAATGTAGCTCAAAGATGTCTGATGAAATGATATAAGTGAATGCACTGTAATTGTGCACAGTTTAAAATGAAGTTGCCAGCTTTATACTTCAGCATTGAAAGTCTTACTGGGTTACTAGATGCAGATAGTAGCTGCTGCATTTACATTACTACACTACATTATAAAAATGCAGTCACTGTAATATATATTTTTATTGCAATAACATTTGATGCTCATTTCCAAAATTACATTTAATATTGTGTAATATAAAAAATAAGGATAAAAAAAAAGTACTGCAAGGGGAACTACATCGTAAAGGACACACAACTTCCTCAGTTTAGCAAAGAAGCACAAAGAATAAAAATCGATTAGTTCAGTCAAAGGACTGTGCTGTCATTATCATATGCTATAGTTTTAAAACATTCCTATTCAAAGCATAAATGTTCAATACATAATATCCTCTATATCCCCAAATACTGTAGCTTTGGTTGTTGCTGGTTGTGTTTTTTTTCTTCAGTAAATCAATACTAAAGTAAAACAAGACCTTCCTTCAACCCTTGTATTCCAGTTATACAAAACAGCCATTTATCAAGTGTTCACATCCAACTGGAAAAAAGTCGTAACAAAAGCAACTTTGTTTCTTCTTTATTCTCCAGAAAACATGATTTACATTGTTGTAAAAAGGAAGGAAAAACATCCTAGCACACACGCATTACAGCATCTGCACAAAAATACCTACCGAGAGAGGTAGGTTTTTAAATTATACTTTTTTATTTACCGTAGTAATAGCTTGTTTGAGCTACCTATAAATGAACAAAAACCCTCCTGTACCAATTAAACACGACAGACGACATGCTGTTGCAGACAGTCTGCTTTTCCCCATGGAAATGGAGACAAGAAGTCTAGTCTAATATTTGAAAAGGCAACCAACTGGATCTAAAGCATGACCTTCATAAACAAACACGTTTGCTTGTTTAACACTGTACTCAGCAAGACAGTCCTATGAGAAACATCTCTCACAGAAGTTGAGGAGAAATACAGAAGCTTGCTTCATCTTTGCTTCAGCACAACTGACCATCACGGACAGCCACAAATTCCAACTCCCTTTGAAGTGGGAAGGGTTAAAAATGTTGGAGCAGAACTAATTGCTGCCAGTCAGAAAACAGTAAGTCTGTACGATAACTTTGTAGAGACGGGATATCAAAGTATGCAATCTGTAGTCATAAATTGTACTTTGTTATCCCCTTATCAGGATCCAACGGAGAAAAACAGGCACAAGAAGCTTTCCTAATGGAAACAGAGCTGCTCAATGACGTTGGAAAGTCCGAATGTCCAAACCTCCATCAGACCAACTTCCTCCAAAATATGCTTTATCAAAGCTTGGCAGAGCCGTGGAAGGCCTGAATATCTTAACCCACCTCAGAAAGTCGCCAGCTGCTATTCAGAGTTTCAGCAGGGCAAAGATTCCCCCTTTCCTCCCTCTCACAATACTGCAGTTACAAATTATCCTAATAATTTTCTCTGCAAGTTGGTCAATGATAAAGGTATATCTGGTTGGGTAAAGATATATTTAAATTCAACAGTTTCCCGTGTAATCAGTTCACTATGCATGAAACCATGGAAAAGTTTAAAAAGACCATGACTGCCTTCACAATAATCTAACTTCACTTCTTGTTCTTGTCTGCTGACGTGAAACCCATGTGTAGCCACCAAAAAAAAAAAGATTCTTTTTTTCACAGGAGAGAATGAACATGGTACCCAGCTATTCTGTAAGGCTCTTCACAAATCTCTGATACTTTAACATTTCATGGATCTAGAGCCAGCCATACCAGGTCTATCCCAGAAGAGGAAGGAAGAGCTTTTTCAATGTTCTCACCACTCAGCATTCTGATCCAAGATAAGTTTCAATGAAAAATATAATGAAAATTCATGCTTTATTATGCCCTCCTTCATTTTTTCAACGTGAATTGATTTCTAGAATATTTCAGAAATGATAAAACAAATATGCAATATGAAGAAGACTTATCTGAAAGCTAAGGTTTTTCTGCTGGACTTTTTTAGATCAGAACATGAAGCCTAGTTATAACTACGTCAACAAAGAATTTCACTCCTGTATGTCACAGCTGGACTACTGCTTTATGTAAGGTGACTACTTGTTATGTAGGTAAGTATGTTAGCTAGATGTGGAGAGCTCTGAGTATGGCAAATTACTGTTAAAATCTAATATATTAAATATGAAAATGGGCAAGGTATCCCAGGTCTATCAATAAAGAGATATCAAAAGAAATTCTTCACTATGTTGTCCCATTTTATTTTTTTAAAAACATTTATTGTAAGGAGAAAACACTTCAGGCATTTGACGGCAGACTTTTGCATTAAGATACAGCTTAGGACAGACTTGTTCTAAGAAAATGGAGAGGATATTAATCTTATGAGACACTAAAGTGGTCTCCGGAGACAAAACAGAGGGTTTAGGTTTTTTCTGAGGTATTTTTTTCCCTTTTTGTAATGAAATAGGCCCTTGAAATCCAGGGGCAAATTCTCCTAGAAACTAGATGAGTGAAAAAGATATCTTTCCATGCAAGCAGGATCTTATTTCTACCATGTAATCAATATGTGTAACCATGCCTTCCTTTGTACCTTCCAGATACAGAGCAGAGACATCCCTGCTCTCAGCTGTGTTTCACAAACCAACCTAAAGTAGTACAAATGGTGTGTTAAGACAGACAAGAAGGTGCTTCATTTGCATAAGCAAGCTGTGCTCACTGCTAAAAAAAACACCTTTAGCTTGAAACACTGAACTTTGGACGTTCTGATCCTTACTTTCAAAGTACATTTATTCATTTATACTTAGCCTGGGAAAGTACCTTTCTGGTTATTCACAGCATACCAGAGCAGGTGCCCCATAAAGCCCTCCATGACCCTTCAGAACTGGCACAGAACCACAAGGTGCCTCTCAGCTGACAGCAGGAGGGGTGTCAGTGGGTGCCTGCAGCACCACACACCTTCCCAATGACTGCCAAAACACTCATTACTGCTGATGCTCTAGGAAATGCCTGCCCCTCCAGTCCTCAGTGCCACAAGGATCCCGGGATGGCAGCTCAGGGTGCAAGTTCCCCTGAGGCATCACTCCCTAATCGCTTTACTTAGATTTGCCACCTCCAGGAAAAGAGTAAATTCCCCGGCAATTTCACCGTCATCTGCCTTCTCCGTTACAGCATCAAGCAACACAACAAAGTAAAATATATGCGACGGGATCTGCAATTAGGATTCCCAGTAAGATCAGAAAAGTACACTCCAAGTAGAGATGTAAATGCAATACCAGTTGAGTTTAACAACTGGCTGCCTTTCTACTCGCCTCCCTCCTTGTACACCAGCGTGCGACTGATTGGTGGGACACGGGCCAGGGCTGCCAGCCCCAGAGCAGTTCGGAGCCCGTTCGCAGGGCAGCGCTCCAGCCCTAGGTGGGACCACGCTCATTAGCGAAGCACTCTCCAGTTTCTCTATTTTCTTTCCAGTCGTGGCATTTATCAGCCTTGCAAGCCGATGATCTAGTTTTCAGGGAGCAGCTCCCGTCGAGTAACGCGTGCATCCTCTGTTCTGGTAACACGCTCCTGCAGCTTGGGTTACTCTTCTTTGTACAGGGCAGGCTGGGTGACTCAGATCCCCACCTTTCCTTAGACATCCAGCCTCCGCACTGAAATGTAAATGCTGTTGTTAACTCTATATGGGCCGCAACACCCAAAACTGCTATTGCTGGTTTATAAGTAAATCGGTGTGTTGGCCAACTACCTTCACCCAGGCAGAACTGGGTAACTTGGGTTTTCATAAAACAAAGCAATCTACAGCCACGCTGGCCTCAGGTCCTCCTGCCACTACTTGCTGCCGTCCTGAAAACTTTCCACTTCTTCTTTAAGTTGGATCCGTTCTCTGACCTTGTTTGCTGTGTCACACACAGCTCGGCAGGCAGAGCTGAGAGGGTGCCACTCTGCAATGCCAGCACTAGCTACGGGTGGGGAAGAGAGGGAAGATTTTAAGCCATCACACAACTGCTGCCTTGCAGCATTTATTGCAGTTATTAACAACATTTCAATTAACCATTAAGTGGTATAAAAGGCAATAATCTAACACGTGAACACCCATTTTCTTTTCAGCCTGTGACCTCTGCTTAACTATCAGCGCCTACAGAGAATACATACGACATGTTAATGATCCAGATTAAAAAATAATAATAAGTTACACTGCCCAGATATGTTTACAAGATCAGGTTACTCCTCTCCTCCCTGTAATTATCATGGGCAACTCTGGAGCTGCTCTATCACTCCTTACTGAAGAGCACTTTTGAACTATCGTTCTAAGTAAACAAAGTTGATAATAATGGGTATTGATGCTGACTACTTCAAAGTAGTGTTCTAAGCACACAAGAACAGAGTCTTCTTAGGACGACAAAAAGCAATGAGAAACATTTCACTATAAAAAGAAATCAATGACAACTTGAAAAGGCTGAGAAGGTAATCAAGAAAATGTTTTACTCCACCTCTGTTAATACAAGGAAGCTTGATAGTTAGAAATATAGGATCATAATCTCTGTGGTATTTAAACCGTGAACAAACTGTGTGTTCCCTTAGATGAGTGAACATTAAGCCCTTAATTGATCTGCTCATTTCCAGAAAACAGCCAAAAGTAGAATAACAAGCTTTCTAGACAAAAGAGACTGTTTGTTGTAAACCATGAAGCCAAATATTTGTATCTTAGGCTCATTTTTTGTTTTCACCAAAAAAGAAAAATTATACGGGTTCACTGAAAGGAGCATATGTTAGAAATAAATAGTGACTCAAGAATCTCCTTATTGCCTGTTTCTGTTTCAATATACAGACTTTTGCCCTTTATATCCCCAAATGGTTCTGATGTGATAAACAGAAATAATGATAAGGGTCAAAATCATTTAAGTCAGTTAAAAACTACGTAGCCATAGCTTTGGAATATTTAATATTCTTGTCTGAATAATCTTGCTCTTCCTCAAACTGAAGAATGCATACTACTACTACTAAACCTACAGACTTTATCTCTCACACACAAAAATCAGACATCACACTTGCTTTATATTTTTAAGGAAAGCAAAATAAACTTCCTCTCCAAGATGTAGAAAAAAGAAAGCCTATAAACATTCCCCCAAAAGGAAGGACTGCTGCATAACCTTTTGACCTGTGACAAGGCATTCTACTGTTGACATGAAAAAAGAAGTTACAAAAACTATTTTGTCTTTTCTGTACCTGAAGATACAGAAAGGTCAAAACCATTAGAAAGCGCACATATCACATACACAAAGACTAAAATCACAACTTTTAGAACAGTGCCTGACCTTATTCCAGCCAGTAAAAAACAGGCTATTGACCATCTGAACTAGGATAATTGATAGATACAAAGTGCTTCCTATAAAAACTGACATTTAGTTACCACACACTGAATCTGAAAGATGTCATAATAAATGAAGCAGTTGAAACACACTAATTAGGTAGGATTAATTACGACTTTGTTTTAAAAGTCACATTTATTTTGCCTTTAATTTGATGCAGCAATTCCACAGGACCTTTGCTTGACATCGTGTTACTTGTCAAGGTACTTGAGGTAAGAGGATTCATCTCAATCTTCATCAGTCTAACAGTAAAGTATCTAATCTAAGCCTGAGTCTAGGACACCCCTGTAGGACATTCTCTATGCATGTAAGAGAAAAGAGAGATGCTAATCCCAAGAGCAGACTCTCAACTTGCTCTCTACTTCAGAAAAATGAAGTATACAGTACTGAATAAAATGGCTATGGAGATTCAATCCTCCTCTCTTTCATGAGCACATATGCAACACATATGCAGATAACTGACAGAAAGTATGCACTTCTTTTCAGTGGGATGTTTCATTTGCAACGCAAGCTAAAGCTAAACAAAGATCATTAGCCAAACTTAGAAGAGAAAACAGATTTTCCACTCTTTCGAGCTGTGTGTAACTGTAGATATTGGCAAAGATTTGGCCTACAGGTAAAATAGTTTTTGTAAAGTTTTTCTCTGTTTCTTTGTTTGTGAGATACTTACCTTGCCTTTCTGATTCAAAGGTTCAATAGTTAAGTTGTCAGTGCCAATGTCCACAATCATTCCCATCTGAAATCCATCAGTTGGGTGTGGAGCCCAAACGGGCTTCCCGTCCTCCATTGTGGGATCTATCCAGTATTTCCTGTAAAAAAAAAAAAAAAATTAAACAAAAAAAAATTGTATACAAATTTAGTAAGGTATCAAGATTCACTATACAGGATTTAGCTTATTACTTTTATTGCTGTTATTCAGTGTAGAAGGAGCCAGCCTGCGGACCAAAGTCAGCCCGTCAGGACAAGATTCTTCCAGCCTTTTTTTTTTTTTTTTTTTTTTTTCCATCTTCAGACTGGAGTATGGAGAAGTTTCAAGAACAGATGAATTTTGGGGGGCTCCACAGACTGCTCCCTGCAGCTCCTTCTTCAATTTCCTTAACTTGTGAACCAAAAAGGGGATCCATCTCATGGTCAAAATAGAAGTACAGGACAGATTCAAAGCTAAGACGAGGAGTGTGTATATTTACACGTGTGCATACACATGTATAGGCACACACATACATATGTGTATGCAGTGGGTCATATGACTAATGGAAACTTGTCTGTACCTGATGCGGTGTGTGAATACTTGAATTTCTGTAACGGGCACATGTCGAAGCACGTGAGCAGAAATCCAGTCTCTTGTCATTTGAGACGAATGAACATGCTCACTCCTTTCACGTGGCTGGGAATACGGCTTTTAAATAACCCACCAATATGTTTGGTCACAATGGATTTATCATACTACAAGCCTTCGAGAGATTGACCTCTGATACTGTAACATTACACCTCTGCCTTTTAAGGAACACCAACCTCACTTTTTATAAAAAATATGGTATGAAAATTGTTTCAGAGGAATCTATGATGTGCAGGCAAAACAGATGCAAGGCCAAGACATTGAAACCTTGGGCTCCTCAAGTTGTGCAGCTAAATAAGCTCCCGATGAAAAGCAGTATTTGATTGCATGCAATGCTCATTGAGCTAACCCAGGAAAGCTGCCAGGATTGGCACACTGAATGGCTAATGCTGCCATTTTAAATATGCTGAATTAGTGCTTTCCTTCCCCGCTCCTGCCTTTTTTAAAAAAAACTCTACAGTCCTTACCCCAATAAGAATAGAGAATCCACATGGCGTGAAAGGCTCACTTCTCCCGGTCATTTTTTACTCCCTCCAAATTTCATTCACATACTAAACCCACGTTTTAGTGATTCCAAAATTTGTAAAAAGTATCTCATATCACCCAAGTGTAACATGCCTCCCTCAGCATAAACAAAACGAGCCCGCCAAACAGCCAAAAAACACCAGTAGCAAACTCCAAGAGCCTGTAAGCTAGGAAACATGTCCCACCTTTTTCTTTTCCCACATCTGAAGGAAAACGGAGCTCCAAAATTTCTCACAACCAACGAAGGCTGCAGACCCCTTTGCCACAAGCAGCCACATAGAAAAAGGGTCATCATCCCACCAGAAAGTTCTACAACCACGACCAGGAAAGGACACTCTTGTGCAGCATGTCCTGACAGATCCCCTGTGGGACATGACCTGCTTTTTGCTGCCTCCAAGAACTTTAGAAAGGTTTGAAGACAAGGAAAAGGCTTGATGTGACCGCTTTGAGAACGCTGCTGGTCTTGGCATCCTACTTGTCAAGGAATAAGACAAATTGTTAACTTTAATGTCAAATGACAGAAGATAAAAAGTAATTTTAAAGTAAAGACTCAGAATGCAAAGTCAAGTATTTTTTAAACAAAGTAGCATTCTGAAGAGACTTTGAAAAAACTAGCTATATAGTACTTAATTTAGTGTTGATGTCTAGTTGTGTGCTTAAATCTACTCAATTAATCTGATTCTTTGTCCCCTGAATGCAGGTCAGGATGTAAGAACCTCATGAAGATTTTAACAAATGTTTCTAGTGTATTTCACTCACGTAATCCATGCTACTTAAAACATTATATTTGAAACAGGAAAACTTGTGGTTTACTTTTCCCCCATGAACAGAGCACATTAACTTCTTTTAACCACTCACAGAAAGTTCTAAAACCACGTGTCACATTCACTCTTCTATTTACTTCAAACCTTTTGACACATCCCATGAACTCTACAAAACACCATCATTTTCATCACATGTTGCCGGCATCATATGATAAATCCTATAAAACAACATCTGTATTCACTCACAATTGGCTGTTGGCCATTTCTTCTTTACTTTAGGATACAATAAATCAGATCCAGTATACACCATAGGTTTATGGAATTTTTCTTTTTTTTTTTTTTTTTTTTTTTCAGCCAGATCTGACCTCCGAGTACAACTGCCATTGCGGTCATAGTTGCTAAACAGCTGAGTTTATTTCTGGATATAACCAGGTCTTCATTTCTTCACAAGTCTATCATTTGCTTTCAAAATGCTGGTTCAAATTAGTACCTAAGTGATATGTCACACAACCACTAAAAACAAGGCTCTCTTTTACGTCCCGAGAAGCACGGCCAGGGCTCCGGACGTAACCATGTCGCACAAGAAACAAACCCTGAAATTACTGCCAAAATTTCTGCCATAAATTCGAATCCAGCCTCCTCAGTTAGCATCCGGAGGCTTCTGCTTTGCTCACTGACATGGACTTTTGCATTCTCACGTATTCTTAAGCCTACTTCATGCTTTATTAATAAATTATGATAGGGCAGCATCACGAGCTAAAAAAATCCTCTTGAAGGACAGGGCAGTGATTGAATTCAGCCACCACCAGGAAATGCATGTTTACGAAAAATACCTGAGGCTTTGCAAGCGTCTAAGAAGCCACCGGGTGAAAGCCTCTAAATACAAGTGTAGTACTCATTCACAGGACAACTACTTTTAATAAATACAGCCTTCTGCCTGAGAAGTGACACAAAACCAGTTGTAACATTTTGGTTTTCGCACTGCTCCACCTCTGTTAACTTGGACTCTGACAGGCAGCACATTAAAATTGGATGCCGAAACCTATTGGGTCATACATGCTCTACCATCTACCTCTCCATTGGATGTATATGCTATTGCCCTTGAGACAGACACATGAAGTCTATTCCTGAACCAGTTCTTGAATAGCCAGGTTCCAGCCCAGCATTTTAAGGTGAACAGAAACAAAAAAAGCTCAAAAGTTCGACTACCTGCTACAAGTCATTTAGAATAAGAAAACAGCATTTTTTAAAAACATGAAACTATGGTTTACTGATTAAAATGTACATATCACAGAGTACAAAATGGGAAAAATACAGATTTGGATGGAGAAATGTCTGGTTACAGACCATTCATTAAGAGCAATCACTGGAACAAACTTCTTTATCCCAATGTGCATCCATCTAAATCCACTCTACATACTTCACTAGTGAAGCCAACTTCACGACACTGTTGGAAGAGCACACTGTTTCTGCAAAGTATGAAGGCAAAAAGATGGTGGACTTGGCAGTGGTAGGTTTATAGTTGGGCTCGATGATCTTAAAGGTCTTTTCCAACCTAAATGATTCTGTGATTCTAAGATTCATACCCAGGCTAAAAGCACGAAGGCAACAAATTTGAGAGCAACACCACCAAACAGTAGGAGTCACTTGAATGATGCTTCCAAACAAAGGAGGCCAAAATGAGCCATCTTCCACAACTGTATTTACATACAGGTATTCAACAAAGATTAAAGCAGTTGATTATAAGTTGCTAGGTCATTTTGGCCTCCACAATTAAGGCTTCTTCCAACAGGAAGGAGTTGGAAATTCACAAACGTTACGCTTCTAACTGCGAAGCCAGCCACCTTCCTACAGTCAGTAGAAAAAGAGACCAGGAACCCTGTACAGGAGTTTGTCTCCATTTAACAGCAGAGGGACAGTAATAAAACAAGTCTTGGTCTGCAGTCGGTAAACTTACCAGCTATTCCTTCAAATATCAGATTTTATATTTTTGTAATTGTCAAGCAGCAATAGACCTCGCCTTAATTATCAGTAACAGTGTTCAACACGTTCAGCACTGGCTAAATACTAGGAGCCAGCAGTTCAAACAACTTGCAAGACAAAACTGTGCTGCACTCCACAGATTACAACAGAAACAAGAAAAACACCCATCAGCAATTCTTTAACTTTTTTCCGCACTATTTTTCTCTTTTTCTTGAGAATGTTTCATGATGATTTTTTGAGAAACGCTATCTACATAACATATTGAGTATATGAAACAACTAAGAATTCCTCAACTGAAAGTTGGCACCGTATCATCCCACGTATTTTTACGTAAATATTACTGATTTTAAAAGAATGTAATACAACTACATTTTGATTTTGTACAGTATTCAAGAGGAAATCAAACGCTATCATGAGATGAAAGAATTCTAGGAAGACAGAGTAATGCAATTTTAAACTTGTTACCAGAACCCAGAGGTAGGCATTTGTATGATCTGATCCTATTTATTATCCTATGAACATTTTATTATACCAAGTCACCATACTGATTGTTGAATTAACTGATTAAAACAAATGAAAAATTAAACTTCATTAAACAACTGACAGTATCTCATTAGGTTGGCTAAATTTAAGGAAAATAAACTAGCCAGAATAGGTATAGTAGCAAATTATTGCAGTAAAAGCAGAATTCTATAGGATATTTTACATTAAAAAGACTCTACTACTTGTGCGTTTCAGAGCTGCTCAAAATTCTGCAGCTTACACCGGGCACATGAGAATGCTTTGGGAAAGGTCCCATAAACGTATGGGACAGATCAAATAAAGGAAAACACTGATACATAGTGGTAGCTTATTGTGAGTCAGGTTATTTTTTCAAACCTAGTTCACTGTTTAACTTCACACTGTTCACTTGTTCACTTCAACAAACCAAAGCTTAGGCAGAATTCAGAACTCTACTGCAGGTGACATAATATTTCAAAGGAACCGCAGATATGATACAGAGATTTTTTTTTTTGAGCTAAATGCAATACAGTTATAGCTGCATTCTTTAACTGAATATTAAACCCATTTGATTTTTCTTATTTACTTTTTCAATTTACTATAAAACCTCTCTGCACTAACACATTCCAGTTTAGCCATACCAAACTGCAGGTTTTTCGTATCTACTTATGATCAGTACTTATGACATCAGCAAGGTAACTGTGTCAAGCAGAGATTTCTGCCAACCCAGAAAAGAAGAAAACAGGCTAGAATACAGCACAACACAAAGGTAGCTTGAAAAGCAATTTGCCTTGAAAATTTGAATGCTGACATGTTAATTACCAACACATTTTGTAGATGCATGCAAGTAAAATAAAGAGCAATAGAGTTCACACATCTGAGAATTACTACATAAAAATTTTTTTCAAAGCTACATGCTCTGACTGCCAGAGACAATTTGAGCACAGCAGCTGATGAAACTATTCTCACGGCATGCTCATTTTCCTGGATATTTGCATGTATCAACACGTTTTAAATACTGAGCAGCTAGAAACTGCAGTACTTTTGTAAAAATCACTCTTAAAACTAACATAATCCGTACTTTAGCTGAACGGACTTCTTAAAAGGCCAAGTGTCTTTGTACTGTTATTTACTATAGTGCCAAGAGTCTCAGTACCGCCTAAGAAACAAAAATAAATACTTCCTGGCCAAGGAAATCTGCCATTGGAGGTTACAGCAAAGATCCAAGAAAGTCAAAGGAAGGAGAGTTTGGGCAATTACAACAAACACGCCAATTCTGTGGGTATGGCAGAAGAAGCAAGTCCACAAAAGGAGACAGAAAAGGACCAGTCATTGCACCTGGGCAGAGGAGAGACAGCAAACATTTCAAACCTCCGCTCTCATCAGCTGTACGGTGCGAGAAGACAACAAGGAATGGAGAAGACGGAAGGTCGAAAGAGACTTAGCAAAGGAAGACAGCAACACACATTTTCTACTACCCAGCAGACAGATATTGGCTCATATTAAATCCTGAGGTAATCATGACCACAACTGCACTTGACAGGATGTACTTCCATAAAGAATGACCAAGGCATATATGAAAGGAAAAAAAGAAAAGCTAATTTCTATATACCCAAAAGAATAAATTGAAGGGAACGAGCAGCTTCCATCTGTCATCAATGCCTCTCAGCAAGCTGTAGTATGGAAACGTTTGCTTAGATCTTTAAAATAAAAAGTACTCATCTCATATAAAGCTTTGTTTGGCAACTCTGACAAAAAAAAATAAAAACAAAAATCTAACAGTAGTTCTACCTTCAAGAATTTCAAATCTACCCAAAGGCAACATCTCACCTTTACTAAGCCTAACCAAAACCACAAATCTTGGTGGAAAGTCTTCCCAGCTGCCAACAACACGAGCTGCAGGAGCAAGTGCCCGTGAAGGAAGCTTTCCAGCGGACTCTGCCCAACCAGGCTTACTGGTTTTTTGGAAACGCATCCCTCACCAGACCCTGGGAGCTCCAAAGATCTGTGTGGCACCTGATGCCACTGTGTCTCCCCCATGTGCACTGTGCCCACCTGCGCTCCCCACGGAAAGTACTGACTGGATCTGTCGAGATGTGGCTTGTGCAGTAGCATCCTACTGCACTAACAGTTTAAAATGAGAACAAAACAGAACAAAACAAAAAACCTCAATACCATGAAAGTTAGGCTGAAGCAGCTTCTATTTGCAGCAACATAGTTCTAGTTAATTTCTTAATAAAATTCTAGCCAGTTATAAAACTCTGTCAAACTTTAGTTTGATTGATTTGATTCTCTTTAGTCAGTATTTGTTCAACTGCAACTGCTGTTATACAAGACCGCGATTAATTTTGTACAACTCTAAGCTCATAAAACTCTAACCACAGAGGCTGTGGTCTGTTGATTATGACATTGGGAAGTTAGATTTGATTCATATTAGGACCAACTAGGTCTGATGATTTCCTCTGTGACTCCTGCTCTTCTGCAGCTTTATAAACTACCGTTCTCTCAAGAGCATTGCTCCTATTTTAGTCCCTATTAACAAAATAGAGAGGTTTCTGTTCCAGTCCTTGTTAATTACAATAACCCAAGTGGAGTTCCCTGACAAACCCAGGAATAAGTATGCCAAGGGGATCTGCACAAGCATTTTTGACCAACAGCAATACCTAAGCCAGTAATGGCAACAAGCAGAAAGAGGAAAAGTAGCAAAACACAACATCAAATTTCAGCAAGACCAAAAAAAAAAAAAGAAAAAAAAGCTGAAGTTAAAATTAAAGAAAGAACTCCTCAGTTACGGTCTGGACACCACTTCAGAAGCATTGCTAAACAGAAACGAGGACCAGAAAAATAGAAGAAAACCAACGTGGCTAAGAGACAGAGTTTGAAAGAGGTAGTTCAAACCAGCGGAATGCTTTCAGACTGTGCACGTCAGCCCCTGTGAAACCAGTGGGCAGTGAGAGGGGAAGAAAGGAAGTACAAGGCAGAACTCAGCAAACAGATAAAGGCATCAAAGCAGAATCAAAGGCATCTTAAGCCGTCTCATGATAAACACACAGGAGCAGACAGACAGGCTCTCTTGCAGATCTAGCTGGA